CGCAAGATTCAAATGTGGCAACTGCACTTGGATTAGTGTTCTTTGTGATATTTTATCGTACAGTGGTCCTTAGCTATAGAAAGCAGAAAAAGGATTACGATGACAGGTTAAAGATTGAGAAAGCAGAAGCAGAGGAGAGGAAGAAAATGAGGGAGCTGGAGAGGGAGATGGAGGGAATTCAGGGAGAGGATGAGGAAAGCGAAGAAGCAAAAGGTGAGCAAAATCCTTACCTGCAGATGGCTATGCAGTTCATGAAGTCAGGGGCACGTGTTCGAAGGGCGCGTAATAAGCGCCTTCCGCAGTATTTGGAAAGAGGTGTGGATGTGAAATTCTCAGATGTTGCAGGACTTGGGAAAATACGACTTGAACTTGAGGAGATTGTGAAATTTTTCACTCATGGAGAGATGTATCGCAGGAGAGGAGTAAGGATTCCAGGTCAGATTTGTGAAAACTCAGCTAATTTATGTGAATATTTCTTTTGTTATTTGGTTTTTCAACTTACTGCTATGGAATTATACCAAGTACGTGTTTGAGGGGGCGCAATAGGTGCAACTATTGTAACTCCATTCTGCCTGGTGTTACATCTGTAATATTACGTCTGTAATGTGACATGCGTAATCACCTAAACTGTAGATCTTTCAATCCTCTTTACCTTTATGTTTCTTATGAGAGTATCATAATCTAACAAATTGGGGAAGTAGGTTTTTTTGATTGGAAAATCAGGTAAGAAACTTATGAAGCAGTAAATGGGTGGTACCCCCTTGGTACCTCTGTTTATAATACTACACTTTTTTTTTTTTAAAAAAGACACTTATGAAGCAGGCATTTGAGCTGTCCAGTTGGGCCCTTATTGTTTGGACGGAAGATGCTATTAGACACTGATACTAAAAGGAATGCATAATCATGGTCAGAGTGAACTGGAAGCTTGGTCAGAGCGAAAATAAAATAAATTTGGTAAACTTGAGCCGTATCTGGGGCTGATTTGGTTTTTATATAATTACATCCGGATTTAATTCGGGTTTTGTGAAACCCACCTCGAACCTAACCCGAGGCTTCCGGGAGGCCTTAGCTTGCCTCAGTAACAATTTGAGCCTGAACAAAGATTTATTAACAATCTGCTCAGGGCCATCCCCTGATTCTCTTATTGTTTTTGTTCATTTAGCCTACCTTATAACAACAGCTATTTACTTTCTTAGTACTTTCTACAACTTATCAGGTCGATTTCTTTTTCTAATCAGGTGGCATTCTTCTCTGTGGTCCCCCTGGGGTGGGAAAAACTTTATTGGCAAAAGCTGTTGCTGGTGAAGCTGGTGTAAACTTCTTCTCTATTTCTGCTTCTCAGTTTGTTGAAATATATGTCGGAGTTGGTGCATCTCGTGTTCGAGCGCTCTACCAGGAAGCAAAAGAGAATGTAAGTGCTGCCTTTAGCTGGTTTGCTGTCATCCTGCCCAATCATGTGTATGGAGTTCTGCCATCTGTGATCAGCTTCATCTGAAGATTTTTATGTCTGGTCTTGCTATTAAACATCAGTCACTAATGTAACATGTCTTGCTTTGAAGCTTCCTAATTAGGTTTAATACAACATATTGTCACTTTTATGTTTGCACAGGCCCCCTCTGTTGTCTTTATAGATGAACTGGATGCTGTTGGAAGGGAGCGGGGGTTAATTAAAGGTTCTGGTGGACAAGAACGTGATGCTACTCTGAATCAGGTCGGTTCAATATATTTAATGCTTGCTGTTTTAACTATTGGTAGTTCTTTCATTTTCCTGACTTAGTTGGAAATTATGTGCAGCTGCTTGTGTGCTTGGACGGATTTGAGGGAAGAGGAGAGGTGATTACTATTGCCTCAACAAATAGACCAGATATTCTAGATCCTGCACTCGTGAGACCTGGACGGTTTGATAGAAAAAATTTATATCCCTAAACCAGGCCTCATAGGTCGGATGGAAATTCTTCAGGTAAGTCTTCCTGTTATATGTGATTCTGCTATTTTTAATGTTTATTTTAGGCCATTGCAACATCAATCTTTGAGAAATTTCTGTAGTAGATTCCTGTATCTTGATACTGTCTTTAATATAACTATTTAATTTCATTTCCTGGTGGTAGGTCCATGCTCGTAGGAAGCCAATGGCTGAGGATGTGGACTACATGGCTGTTGCTAGTATGACTGATGGAATGGTTGGTGCAGAGTTGGCCAATATAGTTGAGGTTGCTGCAATTAACATGATGCGTGATGGAAGAACTGAGGTATTACATACTATGGGAAGAGAGAACTTTTTTTATGCATTTGTGAGTTATAAAAGAATGAAGGAGACTAATATGAAAGAGAAATATTATGAAAATTTAGAGAATTCGGAAATATAATGTTCATATATAATTTACAAATAAAGCATACAAGAGTTGGAATCTGAGGCGGGGTTACATTACTCCCTTGGTAGGAGGTTTGACAATTAAGAATAGGTTTCAGTTATGGTTGTTCACCAGAATGCCTTAAAAGGGAGCAATATGATCCCTAATTTTAGTTATTTACGCTTTTGGCACTGTGCAGATCACAACTGATGATTTATTACAAGCTGCACAAATAGAAGAGAGAGGAATGCTGGATAGAAAGGAGAGGAGCCCTGATACATGGAGACAAGTAGCTATCAATGAAGCAGCAATGGCTGTTGTAGCTGTGAACTTTCCTGATCTCAAAAATATTGAGTTTGTAGGGTCCTTAATCTCTATTGTTTTTCTGCTTTTCCTTTGTCCAAATTGCGTCTCACAGTTACATACGCAGGATTCGTTCCATGCCATTCTTAGAATTCTAATTTATGCTAAAATATGATGCTCTTATTACAATATTAGATCTGTTAAGATGTAGCATTACCTCTTAAGGTCTTGTCCTGCAAGCTCTAGGTGCATCTTGGCATATTTTGTGTTGGCATGGGGTCTTGGCATCTTTCTTATGGACATGCCATTTTGGTTAAGAGCACAACTTGGCCTTTGGTCTTAGAGCTGCATAATGATCATAAAGAGTCATGTTGAAATTCTTGACTTGATGTTTTTCCAGACTGTTGTGGAGCAATGAAAGGATTATTATTTCGGAGAACTGGGGGCTTTGACATTTGTCTTTTGTGTGCATGAGTATCAATTATGTATATATTGAACAAACTGCATGCAGTAATGGGATGGAAGAAAGTAACTTCGAGAAGGTTAAGTATTGAGTAAAGCAACAATTTACTAAAACATCCTAGATGAAGTAAAATGGTAAATTTTACTATGGCATGGTGGCTTGGGCTGGTGACGGGTGACAAGCTTCTTAGGCATTGTATAGAATTTTAGGGAGAATAGGCATGGAAGATATTAATCCTGTAAGATTTTCTCTCTAATAGGTTATGCATGGGTGATACATTCATGAAATTGGGAGCAATTTGTATTGAAAAATTGAGTATAAAACCCAAAAAGAGATTCATTTATTTCATGTTATTTTTGCTTGAGGTATGCACATATTTGTTCTGCGTCTTACCTGTTATTTTTTTGAAATAACTGCATCTTATCTGTTTTGTTGGTTTTTTTTTTAAATAAAAAAAACCTATTAGAGAAGGCCCATATTTGTTTTTGTTTTGTTGGTTATAAGTTATAACTAGCTCAGTGTCATGTATTATGTATGAATTTAATTAAATTAATTTAGATAATTTTAAGTTATCTACTGATATATGCAACTTCTTTTATACCAGAAGGCCCATGTAATACGTGGATCCATGATTATTTTTTTGGGTTCATCTATGCATATCTGATTCAGCTTAGACTGCACTTTTTTTTGGAAGAGAAGATGCAGTTTGCACTTAGTACCCCAAGGTCCTGAACTACCATATAATTTTTAACTGTGGTCTTCCACTAACTGGTAAACTCCAACAAAAATTTCAAATATTTGGCAAATGTTAACCTTTTGTATGCAAGGGACATGCATTATAAAATTATTCAAGATTTGAAGAATTCTCTTAATAAGATTGTACTTTATAATTTCTTTTATTGTATTATTCAGTGCGAATTATTATATGAAGAAACCTATATGTATGTAATGCATACATGAATGCGTTGTATATAGATGAAGGTATCTATCTAATAAATTAATAATAAAATCAAAATGTTAGCATATGATTAATGAACTACAGATACATATCTAAGCAGCTAATAATTTGTACAAACAAACCTTCATTTCTGCTGAGGTTCAAAAAATATTTCCCCTTTTTCACTGTTTTCTCAAAATGATTTTTTTTTTAATTTTGTTATTCTCTCAAGAAAATGAAAGGTGGTTTTTTTTTTGGCATATTTTTATTATGGAAATATATCTGAAGAACAATTAGTATTTTCCTTAACTAATTGTACCCATATTTACTTACTTTGCCAAGTAGCGTCAATTTGCAGTCTGTTCTTTCCATATAGCTTATGTTGTATTATTGACCAAAAAAGTCAAACTTGCTGAGAAAGCACTTATTCTGAATCTCAGTTTTCCTTTTAGAACCATTGTTTTTTTTTTCTTTTTTGTGAATGAGGAACTATCATTTTTAATCTACGTAACAGAAAAATTTAGTAAATTGTTCTCATATTTGAGTTCTTTGGAGCAGGTAACTATTGCACCTAGAGCTGGTCGGGAACTAGGCTATGTTCGGATGAAGATGGATCATATTAAATTCAAGGGAGGAATGCTTAGGTATTTTGCTTTCCACTTTCTCTGTCCTGGTTTTTTCAAGTGTTGTTCTTATAAATACTGTTAGAAGTATAAATATGGTGCCATAGATTTTCTTTTGTGCTTAGTTTGCTGTCATGCTGTTAACAAGTCCATTGTTCACTACAGAAGTAATCCATATATATATATATATATATCTTTACCTTTCTGTCTATTCCCTTTGGCTCATATTTGCAATGGTCTGCAGCCGGCAATCTCTCTTAGATCATATCACTGTTCAACTAGCACCTCGTGCAGCAGATGAACTTTGGTATGGTGAAAGTCAGGTGAGAGACTTCTGACACGTGTACGCAAATATATTGCTTCCTTCAGCTCACATTTGCAATGTTCAACTAGATATATATATTTTGAAATAATATTCAACTAGATATATTCCTGTGAAAAACTTTGGGGGAGGTTCTTTGGATTATTTCTATATGCCCTTAAGTTTCTTTTATCTTTTGTTTTACTCTTGAGAACCCTGCAGTATTTTCTTTTTTATTCTTAAAGTTCTATCTTGTGCCTTATTATTTCAGTTGAGTACCATATGGGCTGAAACAGCAGATAATGCTCGGTCAGCCGCACGAACCTTTGTTCTCGGTGGCCTTTCTGAGAAGTATTATGGTTTGTCGAACTTCTGGGTTGCAGATCGAATCAATGTATGGAGATTTCCTTGATGCCTTCCTACTTGTTATTTTCATGTTTAAATTTTCCTCAAGTCATGGTTGCCAAAACTAAGTTTCAATGAGTGGACTTATATAAGATAAAAAAGATGTTAAATATGTTCTTGCCTGATTTTTTACCCATGAAAGTAGAGTACAATATTCAATAAGCAGAAATAGAAACGACTGACTTTGAATACTGATTCTTATCATAATGGAAAATGGTGTGTTAGTCACATTTTTCCTCATTCTCTGGTTAGGCAACTTCTGTGTTAATAATGGTCCTTGCATATAAATCCAATGAACAACTTATATTGTTATTGGAATTTCTTCCCTTCTCATCTATGGTGAATAGCTGAATAAGGGCTTGTTAGGAGAGAGCCCAAGTATCTCATAACAATGAAAAATAAAATGTTCTAGAAATACTTCTTACTATTCTTGTTCTGTTTTCCCTATGAGCAGGAAGACTATAACGGTTCCTTGGAAAAAGGAACTCCCATTTCTTTTGGAAGTAACTACTTTTCCCACATCTATATGCTGCATAATCTATTACATATGAAAACCAACCTTACTTCCACAAAAAGACAGGAACCCATAGAAGTGCAACATAATCTTATCTTCAAGTCCCCTTTAATCTGCCATGTGTCTTTCTTCTATTTACTTTTTCCTTCAATCTATTCATAACATCACTTTTGGCCTTAAAAACATGCTTGTCCTCAAGCATAAAAAAAAGGATAGCAAGAAGTTGTTGCTAAAATGGTTCCCATGAAGCTTCTACAGGGGAATATCCCACTCAATGCACAAGAACTTCTTGTCTGCCATAGGGAGCATACTATATATTTCTTCAAGAAGCTCGTCAACAGCTGGAATAAGAAATTTATCTGTGATTGTTTTACTGTTGAAATCTTTGAAGTTGACACAAAAACATGACATGCTCTCTGCCTCCCAGTTGCAATTTCAACTCTCAGCATGTCTTTCTCACATCAAATTCTTCCAATTTAGTACCTACATCTATTTCATAGTTATATGGACATGTTTCTTTACCAAACTTGACCTCCACTCTGTATATCATCCTATTATAATGCATCTTGCAGATGATTCTTTGAGAA